AAAAGTCTATCACAGAAAACTAAATGTATTCTATTCCTCAGTTTTCTTTCCAAGTGCTTGCCAGAAGTAATGGGGCTAGTAAGGGGCCTGAATGTGAGTGGTTGGTTGGGGGACAAGTAGGGGGTGCATTTGTCAGGAACCAATTATAATCTTAAAATATAGCACAAATGAAGTGATTTAAATTTGCAAGGAATTGGCTTGTTCTATTTTCATCTGTGTAAGTGGCTTGAAACGTGCTACATGTGTATTTACATAACTGTGCTACATGTGTAGTAACATAATATAAAAGAGTAGTTTACAATAATTTAATATGTATCTTGCTTGAGGCAAGTTTTTGAAAGGTGATTTTCACCATTGAAATTGTGCCACATTTTTCATTTATTAATGTTAAGTCTGAAGACATTGTTTTATGTTGACTGTGTACTGGTATGGCTTTATGTTTTGTCTGATGCCTCCAACTAATAATGTGTCTATTGAGTTGGTCATTTAGAAGATGTTCATATCATCAAGTGAAACAAAGTATCATTTTACTATTATGTCAGTTTTGCAGAAAATAAATTTGACAACAACAGTTTCTTTTGAAGGTTTTTAGTGCTTTTAGGTATAAAATATAAGTATGAAGTTCAACACAGACTTCAAATGAATGTGTTTGAAACACCTAACTACTACAACCGTACCGATTTAGACAAATTAAACACTAATGGCAAAAAATTCATATTCATCCCGCAAAAAATTCATATTCAACCCTTTTGATTAACAGCACATATAAAAATGCATTTTGAATATGTCTTGTTCACTGTCCATCTCAGAGTGTATTGTTGAGACACATTTGATTTTACTCTGAGTCATAAGGCTGATATTATTTATAATTACACTGAAAGTCATCTGGGGGTCAGTTTCACATAATAAAAGATACATAACTTAACAGGCATACAGTGCTTGTTATATCTTAGTAATAAGAAAAAAAATCCTGAAAATTACACACACACATTCCCCTGCTGCCCCAAGTTTTAATATTCTAGTTTTATATAGTCACTTTTATCTTGGAGATAGAGGATGGTGATTGCCACTACTGATGGTAAAAACGAGATTGTTCAAAATTAAATTAAATCTAAAGTCATAATAGAAGAAACTTTGGGACTTATGTTGTAGGTCGACCCCTGAAGTTTCTGGGTGTCAACTCCCTGTAGATGCCATCTGGGAATTTTTCTTTCAAAGACAATGTTTTTTTTTAAAGTAGGATTTTGGGTGGGAAAAGGCATTAATAGAATGTTTTGTGTTTATGGTTAAAAAATGACCTGAGAACATTCAATTTGATGCAAGCATTGTTTATTTCAATCTTGTTTAATGACCCCATTCCACCCTGTCCCCCCCCCCAAAAAAAAAAATAAATAAATAAAATAAAATAAAAAAATAAAAATCACTGTCACATTGCATAATTTATCAGTATTTATTCATTTTTGTTGAAGTGTTCCATCAATGCAAATGCCAGAATAATGTTTTGTTAGCAGTTCAATAGTTCAGTCTTATAATTATATCAGTACAAATACAAGAATGCATTGGGGAATGTGATAATGATTGACTTAAAAGCTTTACAAATTTGCACCTTTACAAGTGTGGCAGGCAAATACTTGCCTATGGAATCACTTTCAATATACATTATCGTGTGGTATTTTTGAAGTTCAGATTCAATAAAAATTGTGATAAAATAAATCATGCATTTGCCATATCACTTCAGTTGTAACTGTACACAGTCTAGTTATGTGGCAACTACAGTAATTATTTTTCCATTTATCATTAAATATGCTTGGAACATTTTGAGCTGGGACATTCTCATTTTCACCTTTGTATCAGTTCACATCTTGCTGAAAGCATAGTCAGAGTCTCGCCATTTCATATTTCACACTGTTATACCAGTGAGGTTTGAAGCAAGAAACAGTCGTCTACCAGTGCCTACACATGACTCGTCAACACACGTGAACTAGCAGAGCTTACACTTTCAGGGGCAGATCCTGAGATATTTTCTGACAGTCTTCCAAATTATCTTTGTTGATCCATCCTCCATTAAGACCGTTTATCGACAGAAAATTACATACCCGTCAATGTAAACCTGAAAAATTTTGTCTTCTGTAAAACGGCTACCATCCATCATAATATGATATGAAGATAAAATCTCTGTCAGAAAATGGAGATGAATGTGAAGTAATTGCTTATTTAGTATTGCATGGACTCTATTGTATATCCACACACCTATTCCCACCTTGGAATTTTTATGTACAGACACAGATGTGTCTGTACATATAGCCGTCACCTGCGTCTGTCGTCGCCGTTGCCGTTGGCGTGCACTTTTACCGATAACACGATAAGTGGAAAACGGTTTTACCTTTTGGCTTGAAACTTACAGAACTGATGAATATTTATAATACGCAGGTCAAGTTCGAAAATCAGCATGATTGGGTCATTTTTAGGGAATTTATGCTGTTTTTTCACTTTTTTCAGCATATATACAGCACCGATAACACGATAAGTGGAAAACCATTTTACCTTTTGGATTGAAACTGACAGAACAGATGAATATTCATAATATGCAGGTCAAGTTCAAAAATCAGCATGATGGGGTCATTTTTAGGGAATTTATGCCGTTTTTTCACTTTTTTCAGCATATATGCAACCCCGATAACATGATAAGTGGAAAACCATTTTACCTTTTGGCTTGAAACTTACAGAACTGATGAATATTCA